CAATTTAGTTGTCGATGAAAGCTTGCCTGAGTTCTTGCCAGGAATCAAAGTAGTTTGCCATCAGGCTGACCAGCCACTGGTGACCTGCATGACCAACAGCTACTAGAAAGTAGTTAGACATCACGTGCTCGTCAGCCATGGCTGATCTGCACGCAGTTTCGTAGAGCATGACCCATAATTCGGGGTTCTCCTTGCCGTCATACTTCTGAAGTTTTTCGAGCTTGAAGTTCTTGGGCCATATGACTTGGTGAAGGTGCGGAGTAAACTGCTTCAAACCTGGCGGGCCGTGGGTAGTATCATATTCCATACGGCGATAGCTTTCGTGGGATGCACGATCGTTGGCTCTCTGGTTGATGCGATCACGCAGATCACGTCCTCCGAGGTAGTGGCGGAGATCGTTATTGCCATCGCGGCGATCTCGGTTGCCATCCAGATTAGCCCTGCGACCATGGTTGTCGCGGCGGTTGTCGTCTCAGACATTGCGGCGATTGTCCTATCGACGGCGGTTGTCATCTCGACCGCCATCATGGCCACCGTTTCTGCCTTGACGGTTATCTGATGGATCGTTGTTGCGCGAGCCACGTAGGTTGGGTGGTTGTGAGCGGCTTGAGTACTGGCGGCTGTGGCTTGACTCGACTGAGACGGAGGGAGCCCGGGCCTGATTTACAATCTCTGCGGTCTGGGCCATAGCAGCCGTCAGATAGGCTTGTATTTCATCGCGAACTGCCTAAGTTTCTAGGGTATTGGGTAGCCGTTGCATTGTCGCCATAGCGACGGCTACGTTGGCGCTTGGGGTCCTAAAGACCTGTTTGTCCCCCACCCTATCGAAAGCATTGTTGAGGTCGCGTGGCTGGACCCTTATGCGTCGTGCCTCCTCTTCTGCTTCAGCTTCGATTTGTCAGCGATTAAACCGGTCAATATTACATGCTTCGCGTGCAATCCTTTCCTGTTCTGTTTCGCCGACTACTGGTGGTTCATCATTACTGACAACATTGATCCAATCCCCTCGTCTTGGTGGGAAGGACAGGAATTGTGGGTACCCTGGGGCGTGGTCTGGGATATCCAGATCGTATTCGACGCCTTCATCATCGTGACGCTGGAGCTTAGTGTGGTCGGAGGCATTGGATGCGATGCCAGATGAGGAGCTGGAGTCACCCTCTTGGACTGTGTGGACAGATCCTTCTTGATAATCCTCAATCCAGACCATGTTGATGAAATTTCGCAGCTTCGACTGAGGTCGACACAGATCCAAGCGGCGTTGTATATTACACGCGTAGTTGGAGGTAGCGTTCCGCAGGCCGTAGGGCTGGGCCTGGTAGTTCTCCATCAAGGCTTCGTACTCGAAGAGCTAGAGACCCATCGCGGAGGCTGGCCGACGACGAGCGGAGCGCCCTTCAGGAGTAGATATGACCACGAGATCTATACCAAGTTGTGGGAAGCGATTACCTGCTCATTAGGTCCACTTTGAATTGAACTTACCAGAGCTAGGGTTTCAGCGAGCTTGGTGCCGACCCGATCGATGGAGTCGAGCAGGTCGGTGTTGTCGATCTGCCTCCCTTTGTAGCGGGGAAGCGAACGACGGGTTGTCGGCGTGGCTGAAAGCGATGCGGGCGTGGTCGGAGCCAGATCCACCATGGTCGGAGCCGTATCCACCGTGGTCGGAGCCGTAGCCGATGCAGGTGAAGCAGCGGTCGACGCAGATTGAATCCGCGCCTCCTCCGTGATCGTGGCGATGAAGTCATCGGAGCCGGTGGTCTAGGTGATCTGACCGATGGTGAACGTGAGGCCGTTCGGCGTAGCCATGAAGCCGGGGATGATGACCATCTTGTTCGCTTGGAGAGCAGTACACACACCCCCTACTTGGCCCGCCACTGTCGATGAAATATGGTCGGCAGTCTACCCAGGGGTATGCCCAAGGTAGTAGATTGTCGGCAGACAGATGCGCAAGCCACAAACAAGATGGTGACGCAAGACACACGAGGTTTTATCCAGGTTCGGCCGCCGAGAAGGCGTAATACCTACGTCCTACGTCTGATTGTATTGTTGTATGTCAATGAGAGATGTTTTTTAGAGGGGTCCCCTGCCCGCCTTATATAGTCCGAGGGGCAGGGTTACAGATCTGAAAACTAATCCTAGTCAGTTACAATTACCATAGGTGACCGGATAAGGATTCCTATTCTAATCGACCGAGATCTTGCTTGATCGCCAAATCTGTCTTGACTCCTTGCGCGGGACTCCGAACAGGTTGGCCGGGCCGCGCGTCGCCTTTTGGTGGACCGGACCCACTGATCCGGGCCGGCCCAATCTTAGTCGTAAGGGTATAGGGGTTAATACCCCCACAGCGATCACCAAGAGTAACAAGCACAAACTCTCACTTGACCAAGACAAGCCTAATGAGAAAGACGGATGCACACTTGCTACTCCCTATGTACTAGTGAGGTCCTTAATCTTGGATTATTAACTCTCAATCACCACACTAGGCTCTTGCTCTCCCTTGCACTTCAAAGGTGTTTCTCAGCTGAACAAATGAGCAAGAGCCCTCAAATGGATGAGTGGGATATGTATTTATACCCCTCCATTCAAAACATAACGGATGAGGTCCAACTCAGCAAGTATCGGGATGACCGGACGCTCTGGTCAAGGTGACCGGACACACCGATCAGTGTAATACGTCAACGTGTTAGAAAGAGCTGTTTGCTCTGACTAGACTCTAGCCTATGTCCGGTCAGCACCCACCGGACGCGTTCGGTCATCAAAAACCCTCTCTGGAACCTTATTGTTGTTGACCGGACGCTGGCACCTAGAGTCCAGTCATTTCTCTGTTCAGCGTCTGGTCCGTGGTCAACAGCCTATCCATGTTGCTACAGATACAGCTAGCGTCACGTCCGGTGAGCACTGGTGTCCAGCGTCCGGTCGCACTCTGACTGCTGCTGCCGATCAAATGAACTGACCGGACTCTCTAAACTACGTCCGGTCACAACCAAACCAGCGTCCGGTCAGTCATTTGATTCTCCATTTACTTCTAATACGAAATCGATCTTAGGGCTATTCCTGAGCTACCTAGTGCTAAGTTTGACAAGTGTGTACCATACCTAATTCATTAGACTCACCTAGGTTAAGCTATTAGTCCATACCCCCCTTAATAGTACGGCCAAAGGAAAAACAAAGTCCTAAATTACTCTAAGTGTCTCTCCAATACCAAATGACACTTAGAACTAGTCCGTCCTTAACCTTGTCGTCCATCCTTTGAAAACAGAAACGATCTCCATCGACAGGGGCATGACAACTATGATTGCCCAATCAATTTCCATTACCATGACATAACTCAAATTGCCTCTGCAAAACACACGTTAGTCATAGTAATCTTGTGTTGTCATTAATCACCGAAACCCAACTGGGGGCCTAGATGCTTTCAATAGGTTACCTGATATTGTGTCCAATCCTATGGTTAGTTGTGGTAGCTCCAGAGGTGACAACTCTGTTAGGCCATTGTAATCCACCACGTTCGGATTAGTGTTCGTAGAGCTTTAGGTAGCCTTCCCCCAACTACGCTTTCTCACCCCCCTCAAGAGTTGGAAAGGTACCATTGCTCTAAAATGTTATTGTGTGTGATCGCTATATCTACCCATAAATTAGTTATACCATGTAGAACTAAAGTAATAGAGAAGTATTTAGGAACCTTGAACTCACCCGTTGTCCTCTCATTTAGCTAGACTGCTCATTTATTTTACCATAAAATTCTCCCATGTGTGTTACTATTCATAACTCTTATTATTATCAACACTTACCCCACTTTAGTTTAGTTGGTATACTGGTTAATAGATACATGATGGTGAACTATCAACATCTTCAACCATTGTTTCCCTGTGGATTAATACGATACTTTGAAATACTCCCAGGTGAAAGCTATAGCAGTATTCGTGCGCTCACGGATTTATCCTTGTGCGTTTAAAAATACCAAGTTTTATGGCGCCGTTGTCGGGGAAACAATTGGCTTAAAGATTTTGATATTGATCTTGATGTCTACTAATCTAGTTATCACTAGCTTTTGTGGGATTACCCCTGTTCTGTTGAATTGTGGAAAAGGCGGGACATCAGACGTTGTTTCGACCTTCTGGCGAGTTTCCACAAAGAAGAAAAGAAGATAAACATTGAAGAACCCAGGGTGCCTGAACATTCATGATTCATCAACACTAGAACCCTGCCTTCTTGTAGATTGGAGAAAAGGTCGTCGTCACAAGTATTCAAATCACATCCCATGTGACGAACAAAGACGCTGCATTACTCACAAATTCCATTGTGAGTCATGGTGAGTTTGATCGATAAAGGTGAGATAGTCTTACTCATGGACTTTAAATTTAATGAGTAATGATCTTTTTAATTTTTGCATTCCATTGCATATTTATTCGAATAATCCATGCATACATTTAGTTTAGTTTAAGTTTTCTCATCCACAGCATGTTTAGTTCCCTGTATACATCCATATCACTTGCATCTAAAGAAAAAATGACAGGGAAAAATCTCCATTGTTCAGTAGTAGTTAAGGGAAGGTGGAAAAAAGGGATAAAATTTTAGCTCTTTAATATTAGGTATATAGAAAAGAAAGAGATGCACCGAGTATGTGTTTTCCTCAAATGGAGAAGAGGTATGGCAGCCATTGTCGCCTTCCAATCCCGTGCAAATTCAAGACCACAAGGGTAGCAGAACTGCAGTGTTTTATGCTAATCACGGAGTGTTTGATCAAGGGGAATGCAGGGAGTGGGAACATTGGCTACATCTATGGCACTCTGATTTTGCAGCTTAAGGGCTATATGTGTTATCGCTATCAAGGCATTTGGCTACTGGAATGGGACAAAGAAATGATGTTGATAACGTGTGTGAGAAAAGGAGCACCCAGCCAAAGCCTATTTATCAATTGAACTGGAATGCGAAGTACAAGGTGACGGTAAGGATTCTGATGATGCTCCTACAGATTTGGTGTGTTTTGCACTCAGAGAAGGCTACAAGGTGATGGTAAGGATTCTGATGATGTTCCTACAGCTTTGGTGTGTTTGGCACTCAAGAGGCATCAACTGTGCATTACTCTGCTCTTGTATACATTCTGCGGCACCAATTACTATGTCCAGGAAACCATGCGATTGCAACCCTTTGTCCACATAGCCAAAGACACTAGAAAGGTAAAAATATCCAATTTCTCCACATATCCAAAGAGACAAGAAGCTAGGAGGGATCTGCAGGGACACTCGGAAAATCCTGAACATATGACAATGGCCATTCATCCACAAAATAACAGTCCTCACATAGCTAGCATACGACATAGTACTCGACGACCAATAAATATAGTCCCAATGCAAGCTAAGTTAATACAAGTCCAATAATGCAACACCCCATAGACATCTCGGGTGAGGTGTGAAGGGCTTTATTTCAGCTTGCAGACCAATTTAGTCACCCACCATGCTAACAAGTGTCTTTTGTGCTTGACGGCCATGTCTTGTTGCTTCCAAGTTCAGAGTTAGGCTGCAGAGGCACGCACACCCTTCCCTGGAACTTCTAGCATGATGGATGGTCCCAAAATTTAGCTTGATAGATGGTCCCTACTTGTTGCATCAGCATTCTCCCAAGATCTGTTTCCGGTACAAGAGTGCATCTTAGTTAAGAAATGCCTTGGTGGGCAAACAATGATTAGATTATAAGTATCTATCTACTCATAGAAGTTACATAGGTAAAAGACCCACAAGTGTAATTCCATTGAAAAACAGAGTGGTCAAACAACTGTTCTGCGCTTCATGACAGTAGCATTAAAAGGGCGTACCCAGTGCAGAGAGCTCCCGCTCTGTGCAGGGTCTGGAAAAGGGTGTCAGTGGCAAGCCTTACCCTCGCCTGTGCAATGCGAGGTGACCGCGACTCGAACCCGGGACCTTCTGGTCACAGGCGGTAAGACTCTACCGCTTGCACCAGGCCCGCCCTTCATGACAGTAGCATTAACATCACACTATATTTTTCTGACTGAGTAGTATTTGTCAGGAACTTGAAAATGGTACTTTGTTGTATTGTCATTTTTTGTGATAGAGGAGCCAGCATAGGCTCCTTCGGATCTTTAGTCAGGGTGACCAACTCTAGACTAGGTAAACTAGCCTGTCTTTTGCTTATTCTGTGTTAGGGAAATAATTTAGGTTTCCAATGAAAACGGATGAAAACTAAACAGCAAAAGCAGCAAGCATGCCCATGAACCAAAAGAAAACATTGCTTCATTGGTGCACATTCTCGCATTTCTGGCAATAATCCAGAATGGCAATTGGACAACTGAGAAATGGTATGTAGAACTGAGAAATAAGCCAACTACAAGAATTATTTGGCTCCTTAGCTGTGGTTAAAAATTAAAATTACAGGGTTTGACAGCTATTATAACAATATATTGCTTATTGTGTTTAATGGAAATCATATTAGTTCTGATGAAAAAAATATAAAACTAAAAGGCAAATAAAAAATATGTAGTATACGTGCACATAGTTGTGCACATTTTGGAACATTTTAACAATGACCAATAAGGGTGAGTTACACAACATGGCGTGCACGATGCAACACATGAAAGATGAATCCTAGCTATGAGATAGGATAATAGATATTTGGTACCCATGAACAAACTGCTGAACCATATCATCATTCAGATACAGCACGCTATAAGCAATTTATAAGAAAAACTTCTGGGAGAAGGGTCGCTGTAAGCAGTTAAGAAGAAAAACTTCCGGGAGAAGGGTTTTACTCCATATGATAGAGAATAATGAATTGAAGTGGAGATAGACTTCTTTGGATGATGAAATGAAGCATTCCTTTATATATCGCCAAAAAGAAATTACAGAATGTAGATGCAGGGGGTGTGTGTGTGTGTGGGGGGGGGGTGTTAGAAGTGCTAGTTTTGCAGATGTAAATGTAAAGGATAGAAGATTTATCAATGGAGGTAAAATATTAACAATCACGAGACAAATAGTTTGCTGGAAAACAATAGACCAGTCAGATCAGATCTAAAGAATACTATGAGCACAGATTTGAATAAATAATGACTAATAATGAAAACCAGAATCAAAATGAACGTTATAACATATTATACCAAGATGTTACTGCATAACATAACTAATGTGAATAAATAATGACTACTAATGAAAACCGGAATCAAAATGAACAATATAACACCTTATACTGTGATGTTAGAAGCATAACATAATTAATAAAACATAAATGGTCCTGCCAGATAACAAACCTACATTTTAGTCTTAGTTTGTATGTACTATGTTGGCCCAAAACAGAGAACGCGAAAAAAATTACCTGGAGGAGGACCAAATGTCCAGATACTTCGAGATCCCACTTTGAAGGTAGGTGTGATTGTAACCAAGATACCTTCCAGAGCCAAAATAAGCCACATCTTTTATAGTCTTGTTCTTCATATCAACTGCAATCACCGATGCCTTCTTGTCCTTATTGGGGTCAGGTGTTTGCATGACGTAAACAACATCAGCGTCCTGCAAGCTCAGGGCAGGGTAACCCGCATGGAGGCTCTTCAAGGTTAGCTCTGTATCTGTAACCTCCTGTTTCAGACTAGGCATCATTTGGGCAAACTTGAGGCTGTCCACTGGGATCTCAGAAAAATTGATAGCGCAGTCCTCCTCCCAGTTGTTGTTCCCAGAACCAATGTCTGAAATTTTCATCTTCTTTGTTGCAGCCACCAAACTTTGAGGTTGAGCACCACAGGTGCATCCAGTGTTAGAGCCTGGTGGTCTGGCCATCTCGAAAAACTTGATGTGATCTCCAAGAACAATGATGTTCCGATAATATAGGGCATAACCCCTGAGCGGCTTGGGCACCTGTGGCAACGGTAGTGGGATGTAGCGAAGAATATGGTTGTCCGGGAGAAGAAGGTGACAGATAAGGATGCCCCGCCAGAGGTCGACCCCCAGCCCACTGAACCGGACTCACCTCCTATGGTAAGGACAGCGTTTGGATATGCAAAATTGAAATTCTCCTTGGGTGAATAATCATAATCAATATGAGCCAACTTGGTGTTCCATGTTCCTGTCTTGGGGGTTGTACAGGTGGAGATCATACTGCTCGTCGTCGTACTTAAAATCGGAGACCCTAACAAGCAGGGCGAGGTAGAACATATCTTGGTCGCGGCAACGCAGAAGCACAGCCTCGCGGTCACTGAACTCTAGGTCGTCCGGGATGGGTACCAGATGAAGTGACGGCGGCGTGTCCATGGTGCCGGCCTGGTAGACGAAGTAGTGGTGGTCCTCGCTGTTGAGGAGACATTGGTCGTCGTCTCGACGGCTGATGGTGACGATGGGGAAACGGAACAGGACGAGGTCGTCACGGCCTTGGGCAAGTTGCCGTACACGGAGGGCTGGAAGTCGGAGCGATCGAAAGTGAAGTAGGACACGCGCGGCGGGCTGGCCACCCAGAAGGTGACCAGGATGGTACGGCCGTCCTCCGTGAAGCCCTCGGCGGTGGTGCCGTTGGTGCGATGGCTGAGGTAGCCGTACGGGTCGAGGAGGATCGACCCAGGAGGAGGAGAGCCCGGATCATCGGCGTGGAGATAGATAGGCGGAGGGATGTTGAGCAACCTTTGGGCGGAGAACGAGGCCATGGCGAGATCTGGAAGGTGGGGATTGTAAGGAGAAATAAAAGGGAGAACAGGAAGAACAAACTAGGGAACGACGCGATGGCCGGATTTCTAATAAGCAGAGTTTTCTAGTTTTCCTCTCCTCTCTTCCTGCGGACTTAATACATGAACTAGACTTATCACATTGGGCCAACGATTCTTATACTGGGCCGACGCAGTCTCTTGGGTCGGACAGTTAGAGCAGCCTCCTCTTCAGCTCCAGGCGCGACGTCTTCACCTGTCACGGGCACGGGCAGGGGCAGGCTGCTAATATTCCCCCCATCTTCAGAACCAGCATGTCCCCATGCTGGTGCTTGCGGGAACTGTTGGCGAAGTTGCTCGAGCGGCTCCCAAGTAGACAGCTCCAGAGGTGAATGAGACCACTGGATAAGGCCTTGCGCCATAGGGCGAGCCCCGGATGTCCAGTGGCATTGCAGCACCCGAAGCGGAAACTGAAACTGCTGCAAGTCAGAAGGTAGTGATGGCGATACCTGCTGATTGCCTAGAGAAGAACGCAGCTGCAAGACGTGGAAGACCGGATGGACAGCAGTGCCTGGTGGAAGTAACAACTTGTATGCAACTGGACCAACCTTTTGAATGACTTGAAATGGCCCAGAGAACTTGAAAGATAATTTGTTGGAGCGGTGGAACAGTGATGATTGAATATATGGTTGGAGCTTCAAGAACACCATGTCGCCCACAGAGAATTGACGCTCAGAACGGCCTTTATCAGCTTGGCGTTTCATGCGAGCCTGGGCACGGAGCAAGTGCTGCTTGACAACAGTATGCATGAGCTCTCGATCAGCCATCCATTTGTGAAGTTCAAGCACTGGAGCCACCTCATCCAAGTTCACCGACAACAGGCATGGAGGAAACCCATATAAGACCTCAAAGGGAGAACGTCCTAGTGCTGAATGTGTAGATGTATTATACCAGAATTCAGCGAGTGGCAACCAATGACTCCACTGAGCGGGGCAAGTGTGCACAAAGCAGCGAAGAAATGTCTCGACGCACTGGTTGACAAGCTCTGTCTAACCGTCCGTCTATGGATGGTAGGCGGAGCTGAACTGAAGCTGAGCCTGCTGCCTTGAACAGAGATTTCCAAAAGTTGCTGGTAAATATGTGGTCGTGGTTGGAGACAATAGCTCGAGGAAGACCGTGAAGGCAATACACTTGGTCCATGAAAATCTTGGCAACAGAGGCTGCTGTAAAAGGATGGCGCAGTGGAATGAAGTGTGAAAACTTGGAGAACTTATCCACCACTACTAAGATTGCATTGAACGAGCCAGACTGTGGCAACCCTTCGATGAAATCCATCGAGACAACTTCCCAAGAAGCAGACGGTACTGGAAGTGGTTGCAAGAGGCCTGGATAACAGGATCGGTCCGGCTTGGCTTGCAAACACACAGCACATGACTAAACATAAGCCCAAATGTTAGATTTCATACTAGGCCAAAAAACAAGGCTTTAATCTTACTGTATGTCGCTGGTGCTCCTGAGTGGCCACCTATTGGACTACTATGTAGTGCTGTCATAATTTTAAGCTGCATGGACTTATTAGAACCCAGCCACAGACGGTTCTTGTATCTGATGACTCCTTGGATTAAAGAAAATGGAGGGTGGCTATCGGGGCTAGCAGCCAGCTGAGACAATAGATCCATAGCAGCTTGGTCAGAATAGTATCCTTAGACAACTTCATCGAGCCAATTGTGGGAGACTGAAGATATAGCATAGCTCATGGTTGGGTGCACTCGGCGAGACAGGGCGTCTGCAACGCCATTTTCAGAGCCTTTCTTATAGAGAATCTTATACTATAACCCAAGCAATTTGGAGAATACTTTCTGTTGCCATGCAGTATGTAGCCGTTGTTCATTTAGATGGACTAAGCTGCGATGATCAGTGTGAATAAAGAACTCGCCTTGAAGCAAGTAGTGACGCCACTGTTCGACAGCCATCAATATAGCGAGATATTCCTTCTCGTAGACTGACAACCCTTAATCCTTGGGACTTAAAGCTTTGCTAATGAATGCTATGGGGTGCCCATTCTACTATAAAACTGCTCCAATTCCTGACCCGAAAGCATCAGTTTCAATGTGGAAGGGCAAGCTGAAATCCGGCAACGCTAAGATGGGGGCAGTACAGAGAGCTTGTTTCAGCACAGAGAAGGCAGACTCATGGTTTGAGGTCCATATGAACAACTGATCTTTCTTCAGGAGATCTATTAGAGGCTTGGCAATGATGCTAAAATGATGCACAGATTTCCTGTAATAGCCGGCAAGGCCTAGGAAACCTCGGAGCTCCCGTACTGAAGATGGAACGGGCCATTCGAGCACTGCTTGCACCTTGGCTAGGTCCATGGAAAGGCCTTGGCTGCTGATGATATGACCCAAGTACGAGATGGACTCCCTAGCGAAGGTATATTTTGAGAGCTTGAGCTTCCACTGATCAGCGCATAACCACTGAAAAACTTGTCGTAGATGGTCGACATGGGCTTCAAAGGTGGGGCTATAGACGAGAATATCATCGAAGAAAACCAACATGAAGCGACGTAAACCTAGAGCCAAAGTACCATTCATTGCACCCTGAAATGTGTCGGATGCGCTAGTAAGGCCGAATGCCATCACTCTAAACTCATACTGACCCAGGTGAGTCTGAAAAGCGGTCTTGAATTCTTCACCTTGCTGCAACAGTATTTGGTGAAAACCCGCTCGAAGATCCAATGTTGAGAACCACTTAGCGTTTGCTAGCTCATCCATCAACTGGTCAAACACCGGCATAGGAAACTTAGACTTCCTTGTCAGAGCATTGAGGTGTCTGAAGTCAACACAGAACCGGTAGGAGCCATCTTTCTTTTTGACAAGCAGTACCGGCGATGAGAAAGAGCTAGAGCTCGGCTGGATGAGTCCTTGTGACAACATCTCCTGAACCTGGGCTTCAATTTCATCTTTCAGTTTGGGTGGGTATCTATAGGGCCGAATGAAGACAGGTTGAGCACCTGGCAACAGAGGAATCTCATGGTTATAAGCGTGAGAAGGTGGAAGAGATGTTGGTGGCTAGAACAAGTCAGAAAACTCCTCAATTAGCTGACTGATTGGAGCTGGAACACTGATGGCATCCTGATCTGAAGGAGCAGGCACTGTATTTTCAATTTGCAACAGCAACTGTTCCGGTCCATCAGGCAGTAACCCTTGCAACACCTGAGTCTTGCCAGCATATGGAATTGCCAGCCACTTCAAGGCCCAATGAACTTGCATAGGACTATAGGCCTCTAACCAATCCATGCCCAAAATGGCATCGAAGTTACCCAAAGGCAGCACCCGAAAATCAGTGCGAAAGGAACATGAGCCAACTGTCCACTGAACTTGGCGAAGCAGCAAGGAGCTCTGCAACACACCACCACCAGCAACTTGCACACAGCTAGACATAGAAACTGAATCTGGGTGATGTAACTTAGCAGCCGTAGCGTTACTGATAAATGAAGAAGAACTCCCTGAATCCACCAAAATATGCACTGGAATACCTGACATCGATCCCAACAACCGGATAGTACGAGCAGCAGGTACCCCAGACACGGCGGACTTTGAGATGGCCAAAAACACTTGTTCAGTTGGGTGATCATCAGAGTGTTCTGTAGCCGGCACAACATTAGGGTCCAGCGATTCCCAAAGAGCTTCGACCGCATGCAGGACTTCCGGTGCGCACCGGTGATCCTTACTCCACTTGGCGTTGCACTTGTAGCATAACCCCAATGCTCGACGGTATGCTTTGACAGCAGCCAGAGCACCAGTTGCTGAAGATGTTGCCGCGGGTTCGGCGGCTGCAGGCTTCACCATGGGCTTCTCGACACGAGGCGGAGGTGGTGGTAGCGGCAGCGCGGTCCATGGTGTGGGCTTAGAAGACCACTCAACGGGTGCCGATGAACGGAACAAAGACTGGGCGCCCGATTGGCCAGCCACCTCCTCCTACACAAGAGCCATGCAGATAGGAGCATCGAGTGTTTGTGGTCTAGAAACCAGTATCATAGCTTTGAGGTTGGGCCGAAGGCCATCGATAAAGCGCATTGTATAAAATAGGGGATCAGTAGAAGCAGAATAAGATTTCAGGCGATCAATTAAAACTGAGAAACGCTCGACATATTCCGACACCGTAGAAGTTTGTTTGATGTGGAATAATTGATGAATTAATGCTTCCTTCTGATTACGATCAAATCGATTGTGCAAGGCTTGACAGAAGGCTGTCCAATTTGCAGTGGCTGGGGTGTTTTCGATGGATTCATACCAGCTAGCAGTGACGCCTTCCACATACATGGTTGCGACGCTAACCCAAAGTGAGGGATCTATGGCGTACATGGTGAAGTAGTGCTCACAGTGAGAACGCCAGAGGCGTGGGTTTTCGCCATCGAATTTAGAGAATGGAAGTTTAGGGGGGCGGCAGTTGGATGTTGGAGGTCATGGGTGTCGTGAGGAGTTGGGTGGTGAGGAGTTGAAAGTAGTGGATGAGGAGGTATGTAGAGCAGAGGGGGCACGGTGGATGATGAGAAGGGTGCGGATGCGGAGGCAGGTGTGGAGAAGGGTACGGTGGAGCAGGTGGCCGGTGCGGAAGCTGTGGTGTCGAGCGTAGATGAAGGAGAGGACGAGGAGGAGGCGGGTCGAATTGCTTACCCATGACCGGGATGTGAGTCCAGACCGCCCTGGTCCCAAACCCACCATCCCGGTGAGACGATGCATCGCCGTGCCCACTGGGCACAGATGAAGAAAAGGCGACGACAGTAGGCCATTGAGGCAAAACGTCGAACACCTTAGAGTCGCGACCTTGGGATAGCTTCTGCATCTCAAGTTGCAGGTCGTCGATGAGCGCCTCCATCTCTGGGCGCCAAGTACCGAGGTCCGTGGCGGCCACCTTGAGGGCGGTGACACGGTCGTCGCGCTCGTCTTGGAGGGGGTCGATGAGGACGGCCTCCAAATCAGCAACGCGCCGACCGATGG